ATCTAAAATGTCGGGCATGAAGCGGAATAAAAAAAAAATCTATAATTTCATAAATAAGGTGTTTTGCTTCAAAAATCGTGTCATATTATGATACCCACCTTTTAATGTGTGACTTTAGATTTATTTCATTTCATTGGACTCAATGACTCAATGAAGGCTTAAGTTCTTATTCTTCATATTGCATTTGAAATCCATCTTATATAATAATACACATTCACACACAGAAAATTGGTTATTTCGCGCTGTTTGTCAGAAGGCAACAAGAAGCACACCAGAAAAAAAACCATCAGAACCAATAACAATAAAATTATATGACTTCATTTGGGGTTTGATATATACAATATAATGAATGCGCCGCGTTATCGTCGATGTTTTTTTTTTCTTTTCTCATCCTCGGAAGACTCCTTCTTCATACTGGTTGCGGTTTTTGGGTTTGGGTTTCAAATTATTTTCAGTTCAATTTAACAATTCTTTTTCGGACGATTTACATTGTGTCGGATTTGATTGTTGTTCCTTTTTTTCTTTCTCTCTCTCTGTTACATTATGTGTATGTTATTACATACACGCGTTTTTATTCCACTGATGCCGCTTAATTCTTTACTTATATACACATCACGAATCATCGTGAATAAACCTGAACCGGAAAGAGAGAATAAGACTACGCACACTGCAGCGTAATGAAGTGTAGTATGTGGATTGATGGAAATGAGGTAGCTGAATGTGAAAACTTGATTGAAATGTTGATTTGATTTGATATTTGATGGAAGCGCTTTTTAATGGTTATTGAAAAAAGGAACTGTCATTAAAAATTTGAAAAATAACGACTAATCAAAATTTGAATGGTGACGATTAATCAAAATTTGAATAATAACTGTCAAAAAAAGTTTGAATTTTATCTGGAAATGAAATTTTTGATAGAATAAAGAGTAATTAAAGTTTGAAAAGTGACAGCCATTCAAAATTTGAAAAATAACAGCCATCCAAAATTTTAAAAATAACGAACAGTAAAGATTTGAAAATTAATGACATAATAGTTTGAATTGAAAATCAGACATACAGACAAAACACAAACTTCACACATTCTTTCCTAAACGTGAAAATTCATTAAATTTTATATTGATGCTGTATATTTATAACAAGTAAATTACTGTGTGAGAAATGTACACAAACACAGTCGATAGATACATCTCAAGAATATAAATTTTCTCAGTTTTTTTTTATTTTCTTCATTTTATAATTAAACAAACAATAAACCTTTCATTCGATCTTTCTAATTATCATGGATGAAGAAAATATATAAATTTTACTATGTAGACAGACGATCTACTTGTGCCTGCACGACTCAGTTTTTCATTTCGTGCATCTGTAAGAAATAAACAAGTTCAATTTTCGACAATAAAAATTCTTTTCGGCTCTCTTTTTATGAGATTTTTTTGTGTCGGAAGGCCGCAGTTAATTTTTCCTCGACATGAATTGAATTGATTATGTTCCTTCAAAAATAAAAAAAACTTTCTCGTATTTAAGAAAAAGTTGTTAAGCAATGAAAGATGCATTGCTTGTTGATTCTTATTTTCATTCATGCCTTTTCAGAATGTTTAATAGACTTGTAAAGTAGAAGTGAAAAATTCTTTGTGAGAATGGAATTTTCTGGTAAACATTATTTTTTTGTGTGGCTTAAATAGCTGTTTTGTGTATAATGTAGCACGCATTAATCAATATTTAAAATATATTGGGGTATTGTTTTCGACTGACTGACATGTTCATTGGTCTTTTGGGCATTCATGTTTAGGGGTTGGAATTGTGGGGCTATAATTAGATAAATTGGTTTGGAATATGAATCAAGATCTCATCTTTTGTGCCTTTATATATTTCCATTAAATGAATGGACTCTGTCTTATTTGTTTTATGAGCTTGTTTATGTTGCTTTATGCTCTATGCTGTTATGTGAATAAATTTTGATTATTTATTGTTTGATATTTCGGATGTTTATTTATGGATTTTGACATTTTAATTAAAGTTTTTTAAAAAGTTCAATAGTTTATTCTCAAACTAGATTTCAGAACTTTTTATGGTTACATTAATGAAGATATTCATAAATGATGTCTTAAGTTCAAATAACTATCTGACCACTTGTGACAAAAATGAGGCAAAGAGCCACCTGCTGCCTTGTTATCAGTTTGATACCAAATTCGATTCTTAACTGACTTCAAGTCGGTCTACTTTTGAATTTCAAATAATTTAAGTTATCCGAAAAACTCCAAAGAACTTCTTGAGTGTGAATATTGAATTGTACTCCTCCAAGAAGACTGAACAAGAAGTTTAGAGAAGAACTAGTTCAGCTAAGCATGCTCTGAGCTAGAAGCTCTTAAAATCCTATATTTTGACTGACATCACTGATGCATAATGAACAACTTTTATGCTGAATATTGCATTTTCGAAGCTATTGTCCATGCCGACGTAATAATTTAATACATTAGTATCATAATTTAATCTAAAGTTGAGCTTTGCTGTCAGCAGTCGGTCAACTGTTTTGAAATTTAATCTTGTATAGTCAACAACAAATGGAGCGCATTCAGGAAGGGCTTTTTTTAAATTTTACAAAGTTCTCTTGATAGTAAATTAGATTATTTTGTAAAATTTCTTTAGGTACACAAAATTGTGTATGGATGTGTCATAAATTGGATAGAGGAGTTCTAAGCCGTTTTCAACGATGGACATCGCTTACAATGATGCTATAAAAAATCACAGTTTTATAAAAGTTCTGAATAGTTTTTTGGTACTTAATTTTAGTTTGTATGAACAGAGCTTGTCTGTGTCGCATGTAATCAAAATGTAAAATTAATAACTTTTGAAAATTAAAGCTTCTAGAGTCGCAAAAGTCCGAATTAAAACAATTTGTATACAACAAATTTTAATGAGTTCTCTAAAATTGCACTAGCAGTTTTAAATTTCACGGGAATCAAAATTCAACGCTCCCACTAAAGTATATCTTCAACAACAACACGATTGATAAAATGACATCATTCGCTAATTACATTCCACTAATTAAAATTTTTATATCAACCCCAATTCCAATATTACAAAAAATTAATTAAATTAATCAGACACAACCAGAATAGGCACTTTGTGTACACAACATTTTCTAGCACTCTCAATTTTTCCACGACGTGCAACATTAAAATAATATAAATTGTTTAATTAGACATGAAAATAAATTTTAATCGAAAGAATTCATCATTGAAATTCAATTGGCTTTTATGGAATTCATTTAATTAACATACGCAACATTCAAATTAAAATTCAATTGCAGAAATAATTTCCGATCTGAAAAATAAAATGCTATCGCATGAACAACACAAACAATCGAGTGATTTTTAATTAAATTAAAATACCTTTTTAATGATTTTTTATTGTAGTGAAATAAATAAGTAATGAAACATCATAAATCATGATCCTTTGCACGATACTCTCTGTGTGCGAATCGACGAAGGAATTAAATTATCACGATATAGTAAAGAATAAAGAGAGTAGACGGTGGCTCGAGTATGGGAAGCAATTTTCCTCCTATCATACTGTTTAAAGTAACATTAACAACAATAAAAATATCAAACATCAAATAAAATAGAAGTGAAAATTCAAGATTTATGAAGTCAAATAAATTCTCGTACAAATGTAAAACAAGCCACATAAAATTCATGCTGATATTCAATTTATATACAAGCATTTACAAAAATCAATCATTTTAAATGTACACACATTCATTGGCTACACAGAAGCATTGTTTGTTTAAGAAAACGAGCTGACTACGAAACATTTCCTGTTATAATCGTTTTTCATTTCCGCTAAATTTAAATATTTTCAATTTTTTTTCTCTCTCTCTCTTTCTCCTTTTTTCTCGCTTAGATCTATTACTGTATACAATTTTAGAAATGCGACAAGTGAAGAAAATAAAAATATTTTTCCTCTACTTTTGAATGAAAATACGTCGACATGGCTGTAAGGCATGTATACAGCTAAGGAATTTAAGAAAAATGAGTAGAAAATTGATATAGGTTCATGATTTATGCGAGCTTAAATGCTGTTTTGGTTTCTTTGATTTAATTTATTACTTTGAAAATTTTGTTCGCCATTTTGTTTTCATAGTTCTCACCTCGAAAAGTTTTTTAAAGTTTTTAATGATAAAATAAACTCAAAATTAAATTTTCAACATTGAATCTCTATTAAATAAGTGGCAGAAACAATATTTTATTAAAGAAACTTCAATTTCAGTTGTTTTGGCAGCAATAAACTCAAATTTATTATTTTCCCGCCATTTTTCATTTCTTGTCATCACTTCGAAAAGTTTTTCTTGTCTTTTGATGCTTAAATAGCAGATATCAAATGAAATCTTTGCTAATTCCTCATCTACTAAGTGGCAAAACTTAATATCTCATTATATTCTTGAAAAATCATTATGACTCTCATCATCCAATCAAATCAGACAAACTGAGTTAATCCAAAAAAAAAAAATGGTTAAAGAGCGGAAATTAAAAGTTTTTTCAAACTTATGTTGTGTGATACAAAATAGAAAAAGCATTTAGAAACTAATTGGAAAATGAAATGGTGATAACAGAAAATAATGGAGATTTATGTAAAAGGTTTTTCTTTAAAGCATAGAAACAAGAAGGGAGGGGGGAATAAGCGAGAACAGCACAGAGTACAAAAAAAAAATCAATAAAGTCAAAGTAAATTGCATTAAATGTTTTCAAGTCATTTGAAGTTTGCCGCAATGCTTGTGCGCCGATATAAGTAATAATAAAGCGTTTAAAATAGCCATGTACTTTCTTCGTATGAAACATAAATCATTTTGCTGCAGCGTACAGAAACAAAAAATAAAAAAAAATGAAATAAAAATCGTCGTCGTTTAAAGCTTATGAACTAGAAATTATTGTTATTATTATTATTAATGTATGTCACAGATTGCAGACGATATTTATGATTTTCCTCTTATTTCATTGCAGGCCATTATTTAATGAGGTGCAGTTACTTAATTCATCATCACGAAATCCACTAGTTCCAGTATTGCCATTATCACCTGAGAATAGTCAAAATAATCCGCCACATCCAGCTGACATTCATCCTGCATATCGAATTGGATATATGCAATTACTACATACGCTTCATAATGCAACCAGCCCACAATCATCTCTACATGGTACGTATATTAAATTAAGTTTTAAGTCAGGCACATAGAGTATTAAAAATGACAAAATGTGTCACAAACTCAAGCATATGTGTCTTCATATCTATAATCCCTCCAAACTACTAGTTTACTTAATGTTGTCATTCCATTCTGTCTATCTATCATGATGCAGGTCCAAGTTTTTCAACGGAAAATCTATCACATGCTGCCGCTGCTGCTGCATCATTAAGTGGTGTTCCATATACGACATTAAATAGCTTCTCAAATGATGTTAATATGGAGCGTCTAAAGTCGAGTAATGGCGGAACACAAACCTCACTTCGTGCCGATCCAATTACAACCTTTAATCGGAAACGAGCACTGTCATCATCACCATATCCAGATTTGTTGGATGTGAGCTCAATGATACGTAACTCGCCAAACTCACTTTATGGTTCAAAAAATAGCCACATAAGTGGCTCATTTGGACATTTAGCGGTAACAGCTTTAAATAACACAACAGCAAGTGGAACGAATGGATCACTCGGTTCGCCAATGTCCATTTCATCGTTGCCAACATCTCTCCAGCACTTTTTAATGAGCGGTGACATCCTTCCATCACTATCAGGTCATTACATATCACCAACAAACTCAATGTTTTCATTAGCACACCATCAAGCGATGATGCAAGTTGATGCCTCTATGCAATCTCTTAAATCGGTAAGTTTATACATTGTTTGTGGGTCGGGTCGTATTAAATGTCATTCGGAGGAAAAAAAATTTTATTTTTTTTATTTATTTTCTTTTATGCCACTGTAGGAAACACACGATGCCCAACAGAAGCAACATAGTAATAGCACATCGTCAAATTCATTAAATAAGAATGCAAATAAGAAATCTGATTCGAATACAATGACAGTGACATCAGCCGAGGCTGATAGTCCATCGCAAATGCAATCACAGATTCGTAAAGTGAAGATTAAATCCGAGAATATTAGTAATGATGATTTTATACAGAATGCCAAATTATCGACAACAAATTCACATTTAAATCAACATCATCAGCCGCATCATCATCATCATCACCATCATCATAACATAACAAGTGCCAATGTAAATGAATTACAAAGTAACTTTAGCAGTAATCAACGACTGAAGCCAAATGGCATAATGAGTAATGTAGGAGGAAACCATAAGAGCAAGGAAATGTTCAATGCCAAAAATAATAATCATAATAGTAATAATAATAACAATAACCTTAGATCAAGTAACAATAATAGTAGCACAAGTAGTGAAACAGTCCTAGCTGATACGACCGATGCGAAGGAAGATGGCGGTAATTTTATCGAAACAAATTGTCATTGGAGAGGTTGTGGGCTTGAATTCATGACACAGGAGGAATTAGTTCGACATATTAATACCGATCATATACATGGCAACAAGAAATCTTTTGTATGTCGATGGGAGACATGCTCGAGAGATGAGAAACCATTTAAGGCTCAATACATGCTTGTTGTGCACATGAGACGGTAAGTTTCTTTTTTATAGAATTATATTTTACATCCTTTTTGCTGTTGCTGAACGGTGAACATAGAAACGAGCTGAGAGCTTTTGTTTCTTGTAAGATGCTTCTTTATCGATGCACAAGCGAGAGCGTTTAGTGAATGAAAATCAATTTTGGGGAGATGACAAATTGTCCTTTCTGGCTTTTATGTCATACAGAATGCAACATGGTGAAATGCTTGCTTGTCTGATGCCATAAATTGTAATTTTCCAGCTTAATTGATAGTCGTGAGCAGACGCAAACAAGGATTGGAATTAACCAATATAATATTTTATCTTTTTTTGATCCGCTTTGCACCTTTGCTATAAAGACAGCAACAATCCCTCTGGAAGCTTTAAAAGCTTACCCAACATACAGCACAGCATTAAATTCGCACCAAACACTTTAATTCTAATGACTTATTTACTTAATTTAATTAAAATTTATTTTTTTTCTCATTTTCTTTCTTCTTTTCATCATAAAGGCACACTGGAGAAAAACCACATTCATGCACGGTAATTAAAATTTAATCCTTTGAAAGAGTCGTGAAAAAAATTAAAATTTTCTCTTCTTTTCATCTCTCATTTACAGTTCGAAGGATGTCATAAAGCATATTCACGCCTTGAGAATCTCAAAACACATTTAAGATCACATACAGGCGAGAAGCCTTACACCTGTGAGTTTCCGGGTTGTAGTAAAGCTTTCAGTAATGCATCAGACCGTGCAAAGCATCAGAATAGAACACATAGCAATGAGGTAAGTTGAAAAAGGGTGCATCAGAAACTTTCAATAGCATTAATTTAATTATGATATCTCTTTACAATAGAAACCGTATGTCTGTAAAGCACCAGGATGCACAAAGCGATATACAGATCCATCGAGTTTAAGAAAGCATGTAAAAACTGTTCATGGTGCAGATTTCTATGCAAAGCGAAAGCATAAAGGTACGGGTGATAGCGGAAGCGGTGAAGATGGAAATGGTGTCAGCAGTCCTGCTACGAATGAAGATAATTACAGTATAAAAACGACGAGTTTAATGAGTCCAAGCATAAAATCAGAATCGGACATAAATTCACCGGGATATCCACAAATGAATAGCCCATCAGGCGTCTCACACATGAATTCAGACATGAATGATGACTTTGACTATGGAAATGGAGGTAGCAACAATGGCAATAATAATATGAGTAATGCTAATAGCACACAAATTGGAATTGTCTCCTCAACCGTAGACTCCCAGTGGCCATACGAGGAAGAAGAAGAAACAGCCGAGGTAAGATAAAAAGCTTTTTTTTTCTCATTTATATAGCTCACATGATTGATGATTGTACATAATTCGCAGGTCTCTGAACTCCCAATGGTCTTACGTGCCATGATTGATTTCGATCAAACCGGAGGTGGAGGTGTTGCTCTTATGAATCCAGTTGATCAATTTAGTTCTCGCTTTCGATCTCGTTTGCATCCCAAAGGTGGAATGTTGCAGCCACCATCACCAAATCCATCGGAATATATTAGTAGCTCATCTCCACGTAGTACTTATGGCATTGGTGAATTAAATCGCCGCATTACAGATCTTAAAGTTGATCATCCAGCATTGAGTCCACCGCATAATTTCATGCGTGACTCATCGCCAAAATTACTCGAGCTTGGTCAAAACTATCAAAATAATGTCAATACAGCACATTATCAACAAACGACTTTACAATTCAATCAACAATTGAATCAACAAATACGACGTGATAGTAATAATTCAACAACAAGTAGTTCATATTATAGTATGAAGTCATGTGATGTTAGCCGACGAAGTAGCAACCAATCTCATACATCATCGATTTCAACATTACGACCGAGTTCAAATGCCTCACTTGCTGCGCCAGGCGGTGTTGTTGGTGCCAACTTTAATGGTAACAATAACTATGACTCCAACTTATTTTATGATCCAATTTCGGCTGGCAGTTCAAGAAGATCGAGTCAACTATCAACAGCCGATGGTATTGGCAACAATAACTATGGACCACCATCATCACAGCTTTTATCATCTCATTTGGCACGTCTCCAACGTCACTCGAATGCACCGAGTCATCAATATAATTCGACTGCCTCATTCTATCAACATAGCCATCCATACAATTCGTACAACTATCCAGTATCGTCTCAAGGTGTTGGCAACATGAACAATAGCATGTTCTATAATTATCCGACACATCCGAATGCTCATAATTTTCCGCACATGTATGCCAACAATAATACACGACAACACCATCAGATACCATCATCGTCAACTGACCGTAGAATGAGCGAGCCAATAAGCAGTATTGCATCGAGAAACGTGCAAAATGACTTCACATGTCCCATCGTACAACGTCCTCGTTCGACGACACCTACAAAATCATTAGAGATGGTTTTGGACTCGCCAAAAGATATGAAATCAACGCCAGCAGCAACACCGGAAAAGAAAAAAGTCGAGAAGGAGAGCAGCAACAGCAGTGGGAGTAAGAAGAATAAAAGTAATAATAAAGATTCACCATCAAAACCACATCCAAATGAGACTGTCGTACTTGATGTGCTGAAAACGAATGAAAAAATCGAAAATTGCGATGAACTCGTTATACCAGATGATATGGTATTATATTTGAATCAAGTGAGTGATGAGGGAACAACGCCATCAACAGCAACAAAGCCATCATCAGTGCCAAAAATCAAATTAGATTTAGATGAAATTGAGCCAATGTCATCATCAATTTCGATAGAAAAGATAAAGGAAGAAGATCTATTGACGCTATTAGCAGAAGTCGATGCTAAATCAAATGTCAATGAGGAGCAATGTGATATGAGCAATAATAATGCTGATGGGAGCGACAGACAAACATTTAATGAGGCGACAGTAAATGATTTTGAGATCAACAATAATAGCCAAGATGAATGTAAAGTAGATAGTGATACGAAAACAACGAGGAAGGAGATCACGTGCAAGTCGTAGGAGAGAAGAAAATAAAAATTTGAATTTTTCCATCCCCGAGTAATTTATGCATTGTTAGAGACGTCGTGTAGCTTCTTGATTTTTAATCTTATTGTTTTTTTCTTATTCTCATGAATGACTGCCTTTTAAAACAGAAGTGATAATGAAATGGCAGGCCATAATTGGCATATAATAAACAGGTGAATGAGCAATTGTAATGAATAGTTTGAGCTTCTATTATTGATAAATGAATGAGCGTGTTGATTTCGACTAATTGACGTGATAATAAGATACCGACTTTTTTACGGTAGACTGGGAATATATCAGTTGAACAGCCGGCTGTTTGCTGTTAGCAAAAATAATTTTATTCATGCAGACTGAGTTACTACTGAGTGCTCATTTGAATAATATGGAGATTCATGTTGGTACTTAAGTTTGGCAGATTATTGGATGGATCAAAAATACGTTAAGAAATATTTTTGAATAATTTTTGACCGTTAAAAATTAAGAATTACATTTATTGATTTTTGAATAGAATAATAATATTTAAAATTAAGGAATCAAACACATATTTTAAATTTGCAGCTCATTTTCAATTGGGTCGTTCGTAAATGATGTCAGAAAACTCAAAATAATGCAAGGGTGTAGCTAGGATGGTCTGAAGGGGTTCGAAACCACTGTTATATTTTGAAAAAGCTACAAACAAAGCTTGACACTCCTCGAGAAAAAAAAAGACTCTAGTTGCACCCCCTGACTTACTTAAATCCTAACAAACCTCAAACAACTGCCAATCGACGTTCTCAAATTAATATTTCAAATTCTCGGGAAAATTAAACAAAAAACACGAAAGAACAAGGAACAATAATTGAATTGAATAGTAATAGCATTTAATTAATTATAATTAATTATTATCATTAAATTTTGTTTTAATTTTCTTTTATGTTATAATTAATTAAACTTTTTAATTCTATCTGCCTTTTTGTGTTTTATGCAAAAAAAAAAATCATGAAATAATTTTCAATATTTTTCTGATATTATTATTATGACTCTTTACTTTGTATGTTATTGAACAAGAACATAAAATAATATTTTTTCATGAAAATTTATTATGAACGAATGTGAAACGAAAAAAAAAGTATGAATGAAATATGTTTATGGCAATTTCTCTGTTCTTCCATTATGATTATACAATAATTATTATTATTATTATTATTATTTTCTATTATTGAGAATTCATTCTATTTTTTATTTTATTATTTTTTAGGTATTAGGAACTTTTTCTTGTGAAATAAATAGTTTTTTTGATGATTAAAAATTAATTCCTATCGGTATTTTTACTCTACGAAACTTTTTCCCATAGAATTTTATTGAATGATAATTAAACTTTCAGGTCGGAAATGAAGCAGGGGGATAACAACTTAATCGGAAATTTTTAAATATTTTCCACAACTTTTTAACCGCAAAACTCAAATTAATTGAAGATTTTAATTGAATTTTTCCCCACCAAGTTGTGTTCCCCTTTCATTTTTCCACTCTCATCGTTCGATGATATGAATTTTTGAAAAGTTTTGTCATTTTTTTTTATAAATTTTCAGGTGGAAATGATGTTCTGAATAGCATTAAAAATAATTCGATTATGTATGAATTTTAAAATAATTAGCGCTTGTTCCAATTCGGTTCATTGGTTTTTGATTAGATTTTGTGTATTTGAAAATTAATACTTATTGAAGAAGTATTTGAGGATGCTGTTATTGAAAGTTTTATCAGCTCTTCAAAATTGAATGAAAAGATAGCTTATTGAGAATTTTTTTGCATGGATATTGAAGTTTTTTTTGAGTGCTCTTCAACTGGATATTTCCAGATTCTGCAATGCTCAGCAATTGAGATGGATTGATGAATTCATTTTATCGAGGTTATTTTTAACATGGGACAGTTTTAACGTGGAAAGTAACACGGTCCATAGCTTACCTCTCCTATGCAATGAAACTACACTCCGTACCTTACATTAACCGATACTTTTCGGTCCGATCTATTAATATTCCTGTTGTGTCCGAGCAGAGTAGAATCTGCGGTATCAAGCCATAGATTGGTGATTCTGCTAATGTGAGATTAGAGCCTATGTGGCCGAGTGGTTACGCAATAGACTGGATATCTATAACCTCTTTTGTAAGGACGTAGGTTCAATTCCCATCCCTTTATCTCAAACTATATCATAGAGCATTGACAACACGACAAGAATTCGATATGATGGTCGAGAGATCGGTCTCTAGTGGGAATCAAACCCACGTTCTCTCAAAAAAAGGGTTACAGATATTGGGTGTGATGCCAAAACCAATCTCACGACAAAAGTCTTACTCTCGCAATGGCAGATTCTATTGAATATGGATCAGTACCCCAAATTCCATTTTGCTTCGCCACCATTCAATGACATAAGCTTGTAGCTTTTGTTCTGATTTTTCCTGCCACACTTGAATTTCTGTCCCGTTCCTTAATCTTACATTACCCAGAGTTCGAATTTCGTCTTCATCTGGACCATGCAATAGGTAAAGTATACAAAAATGTAGAACAATATGGACATGGCAGGATTCGAACCCAATAGTTGAGTTACAGCTACAAATTTGAAACAAATGCGTTTCCTTTTAGTCAACAAAAGCACATATTTGCTTTAATCTAAATATTCCATTAAATTGTTCAATATTTCAGGACTTCACCGATTATTTTTAACCTGATTTAAAGCCATTGCCTTCAATATCAATTGAAATTTAATCGACCATCTTAAAATAGAAAAGGCAATAGATATCTCAACATATCTAATGATATTTCCATGTCATTCATTTAAATAAAATTATTGATATTCTCATGATACTTCCATATAAATTCAACAATGACAATGACATACATCTACTCAGTCTTATCTGTTCTGAATGACTGAAATGCATGATAATATGTATGTCAATAAACTTGAAGACTTTGAAATATTTCTTCAATTCATTCGAGATGTTCTGCATTAAAGATGTTTCTCAACTATGCAATTCTTTTTTTTTTCAGGACATGATTATTGACAAAGGAGAACATTTTTGCTCTGCATTGTTGATTTTTCATCACCATCTGCTGTTCCACACTCCTTTGAGAATTGAGCGAGAATGTAACAGAAAATATATTTGTGAATATTTTACATCCTCATTCATTTGTCATTATCATGGATCGTTAAAAAGGCTGATATCATTTGATTTCCCCACAGTCTACCTGTCAATAAAGTGAATACATTAGGCTTATAATTATGGCATCTTTTGTGTTGATCGATTTTTTATTTTTTTTTTGTGTGGGAAAATGTTGATTTTTGAAGTAAATTTGAATTCAAACTTTGTGTTGTGTTTTGTTTCTTCCTGGAAGCTCCTTTATTGGTTTGGAAGTTTTGGTATCGGTAAAGTTGTTTTGTGATGCTTTTTACAGCGATTCTTTGGAGTGAAAACAATAAACTTCATTGATTGCACGAGTTTAATAAGGTTTTTGTTTTATGACGTCAAACATTTAAGATTTAAGTGTAGTTTAAAGCTGAAGAGTTCTTATAGAAATATTTCAAAGGTTTAAATAAATGAGTTTGAGATGAAGGCACTCTTTGGATGGCAATTAAAGCTAGGTGTATCGATGTGTTTCTTAAACATTTTCAATTCGTGGCAAGCTAGATTCTCGAAATTTCAAACTTAATCTCAATTGTAATTAGTAAAGTAGACAAATGTGTAAAATTGGGTGTGCCGAAGCCAAGTGGGCTGTTCAGGGTCAATACCTTTACACTACTTTGCCACAGTACACAGTTTGAGGCTTGTGTCTTTGATATGATGACAATACTATAACATATAGTCTTTATAATGATTAGAAGAACAGCCTCTAGTGAGAATCGAACCCTGATTCTGATCTGATAACAAGTAACTTGACAACAGTGGGAAGATCTTCCTTTAACTGCTATAAATGTTTACTAATGTAAAACAAGTCGGGTTTGATGGGAACCGAACTACGACCTCAAAATAAGCTATCTCTGAGTCTACTCGATCAAAGTTTCCTGCCACTCGGCTTCCGAGGTACCTATCGCTCTTTGGCTATCCGTCATACAAATACAACAAGTTTCACAGTGAGCCTTATGCTCAGGCCTTTCTACTAAGTCGCGTAGCCAGGAGGGCCTTGAACCCCCTTAAACGGTTTGTTCCACAGCGAGAGCATGTCCTAAATGCTTAAGAGGGGGACAAGACCCTCCTGGCTACGCGCCTGTATCTACTACAGATACTCTTCAAACCATATCGACATAGAGCCCGTCCTCTCTTATTGGCAGAGGCACTTACACTTAATTCCACTCAGTTTTGATATCATAGAGCTGATTTGATCAAAAAATCCAAAACTTCTTTCATCACGCATCAACTTTTTGTCTTTCAAAGCCCATAAAAAGCTACCGATAATTTTCTAAATCCGGAAGTATCTTGGGAAAGACCCATCACATTGATGGACACACTCAGAATATGAATAGCATCCAAATCAAACTAATTTTCTGAGAATAAAAGAAGACACGTGCCATAATATGTGTGAAAAGGCTGTCAATTCATCACCTTAATTCTAGGAACAAACAAACACACAAAAAACATTTCCGTACTTAATAAAATTAAATGTTAAAATTTACATGAAAATATTTTTGTTTTTATCTCGCCAATTATGTTGAAAATAAACACGATTTTAAAGCCATAGCTCTACTTATGTGTTTTCATTAACAAGTTAATATGCATAAAATAAGATGATTTAATGTTTCCACAACAAAATAAATCCACATAAAATTTTTTTAAAGTATCAAATTCAACTCGTTGTGTTGCTTTAACGATTCTTTATGCTAAAGTTTAAAACAAAATATTTCATTGCCGTAAGAAGCTCCTGAAAAGCTATAAATACACAATTTTATGTATGAATTTTTTTTATAACATATTGTGTACATAAGTCTGTAGAGCTAGAAGGTATGTGTGTGTGCAGGATTAAGAATTCATGTGGGGATAAAGAAACATAATTGAAATGAAAAATGGGGAAATGATAAAGAGATTAATGAGCAATCTAGGCTTAATTCTTTTGTACTTAAGTCTGCTTTAAATTGACCTCAATCATTGTGTAGATCCTTGTTAATGTCGGCATTGTTTGGGTAGCTTGTATTGATTTAATTATATTTTAAAATAGATATAATGAAAAAGTTGTTTAAAAACTAAAATAATAATAAAAACAGTTATATGTGTAATAATTGCCGTTGGCATGTGTGAATTATTAGATACGTATTTAAAATCAACTTAATTTTGGAAAATAATTGGATGTAGAAATTAATTGAAAATATCGAATAATAAAATGTTAAAGCAAGCATTGAAAAATATTAAAATTTGGTTCATTCAATGTTTAATTTTGAAATAAAGTTTATTGTTTTAATTTTTTTGAAGTGGTGAACAGTTCGTGACAGTTTATGACACTTTGTGAGTCACAACAGGAAAGGTAATAAAATTTTTGCACAAATTGAGATGAAAATGTGATATTTTAACGATTAAAATTAAAGTTTGAGTCGTTTACTGTTGAAGGAACCTAAATTTAGGTTTACAAGTGTAGCCAGAGGTAACCTTAAACTTAAACAACACTAAACTATATAAATGCTAAGGCTTGAAAATCAGACTGTCGCACAAAGTGTATGAGTATTATAATACACAGGTTATAGAGAGAGTCTTCAGAATTCTATGTTTCTGCTGATTATCACAAAGAAACAAAGATTTTTATGTTGAAAGTTGATAATCCTTTAAATATCTTTTCAGAAAATTCTATCAGAAATGTTTAAACATTACAAAAGACTTCAAAAGTGGCAAAATCTTCAAGATAAGCAAATTTCTCAGCAATTGAAGCAAAAGCGTTGTTAAGGTAGGTGGTACTATATTTAAATTTATCAATTTAACTCAATTACTTCAAAAAGCTTAATTTCATCAAAATTTAATTCCGAAATTAAATCAAATGAATTCAGTGAACTTTAAAAATGCTGAAGAACCTTCAACAAATTGTTGATCAATTTCTCTGAGTAGAAAATAACATTTAAAAAAATATTCATGTTTACTTTAGAACTTTTGGATATTCATTTACAAAGTTTACACGACCTTGCTGTGCCTATGATATGCCTAATTGGGAAAGTTTTTGTTGACTTTCGCAGGCTTCACAAGATCACTTTTGTATTTTATTATATTTTATGCTTTATCGAGTTTAATAGGGTAGATATATAACATGTTTAAAATTTAATTTAATAGGAATGATTCGACAACAAGCTAGCTTATCATTAATTTGTTTATAGAACCATGCATTTTATCTTTTAAAATTCTTCATGCGTGACTTATGAAATATTCACTGAACTGAGGATTTTATGTTTTGATTATGTTTGATTGATTAAGAAAATTTTGCAGGAACTGTGATTTAAAGTCGTAAGATTTTTCTTTTAAGTGAATTAGGAGTGTTGTAAGGATGATGGGGTGGATGGTGTTGATTGTTGTATGATGCATATATTTGATGAGTATAAATAAGAGAAGCTACTGTTAGGTTGAGGGAGGGGGGGTTAAGATAAATACCTGATTTACTACTCTGCGGTCTAAACAATTCGAATCTGTACTAGTCGCCAGTAGACACTCATTTTTGTAGACACTCAAAAAACCGATTATATAAAATTTGTATAAAATGTTATACTTCACAAGTGGCAGAAGAAAAAATTCTATTCAAATTTGAATCGGTTTTTTAACGAACCGAAGCGAACTCATGTCGGCTTCGACCTCTGGATTTTAGCTGAAAAAGGTTGTAAAACACTGATTCGAAGGATCTTTAGTCAATTCTATTGCAATATTAAATTAACGATAACTGACATTTAATCCATATTCAGCATTTTATTTAATTGCACCACATAAAATTATTGACAAACAATTCAAATTTAAATAAATTCAGCATTATACTATTTGTCAACAAAAAAGAAATGTTAATCCATTAAATTTCTTTCCCTATAAACACAAACTCAAAATTGAGTAATTAAATTATTATTAACATGTATTGACATCATTAGGTGAATGGATCATTAATAATTCAATAGCCTGCGAACATAAACAAACGCCATGCAGAATGCACAATAATGCTATAATCGTCGCAATTAAAGCCATAAAATATTCCGTAAGGGAGTCTTGTTCTGAATACAAACATTTTTCGACTCAATTTCGCCCCTCCAAACACAGTGACAATAAAAAACACATCTAACTGCTTCTGAAATATGTATCACTCATTTCCAAGTTCAATGAGTCATTTCATTAGCTCATTTCATATCATAAAATTTTATTGACAAACGAAAAATATTCAGCTATTTATTGCGCAACCCGCTAAAAGCAGTCAAAATAATAAAATTATAAAATTTTACTGCATGTGATTTCCCTAGAAAAATTTAAACAGTTTCTTTAAGTTTTGGTCGATGAACTAAGGCGCATTTTAAAGCAGCAATCAGAATTAAAATGACAAGCTATCGCGAATAGAGTTGTGAAATTTCAATGAAATGCTTTATCATCTAACGGTTTTTTAAAATTTGAATTTTTAACATTTTTTGATAATTTAAAACTTATTAAAAATTACATTTTTGACAAGTTGCACGTTTTTTTTTGGTTTGAAAATTTAAACTATAATTGATAGATAATCAAGTTTTTGAAAGAAAATTTCTCACTTTGTTATTTTCCCCTTGAGATTAGATTATTATATCCTTATTATTATTAAAGCGAGTGAAAAACCCCCTTTTCTGTAGCAAATGACAAACCCCATCTTATGTAGCAAGCAGGCGCGTAGCCAGGGGGGGCCCCAACGTAAACAGAAAATTCTTTATTTTACTAGGGTTTTTATTAAAAAAAATCACAAAAATACCCATACATTTTCCATACAAAAAATTTTTTTGTCCCCTCCCCCCTCTTCAAATTCCTGGCTACGCACCTGGTAGCAAGTGAAAAACCCCTCTTTCTGTAGCAAGTGTCAAGCCCCTAGTTATACCATAAATCAAGTTCGTATCATTTCCATCATTATAAAATATGAAATAGACTCTCAATTCAATAGTTTAAACGCTTATACGTTCAAACCCTATTTATAGTTCTAAGTTCAACTAGAAAGCCACCCAGTCATACAAAGTATACTTTATAGCTACACCTTGTTCATAAAGTTGTGGTAAACAAGAATAATACATCCCAATATCATCATCAACAGCACAACAAAACGAGCGCGCGAGAGAATGAGAAACAAGAAGAATTCTTTTGAAATGACATTATTTTATTTTGGCTTCCGTTTTTACGGAATTTCCTGGATGTGACATTCAGAAAATATTTATGACATTTATCTTTCAACATAAATAGCGTCGGATTCAAAATGACTTTATATTTTCATCGTGAAATGATGATTCTCATTTTCATTTGCCTCATGTTGTGCGTATTTATTGACTATCTCTCGTCTCGTTTCATTTCATTAGCTCCGTAGCGAGGATGGCTTTACATTCAGTAGGATTATAAAGCTTAACTTGTACAATTTCCAAGGAAAAAGGGAACTAATCATCATCCTTTGCCATCATCTCCGCTTTTGAATTATGAAATGAATGATTTTCATTCAGGTTTTTAATTAACTAAGCACTTCTGTAGTGTGTGGGAGTCAATGAGATACACTGATAATGTGATTCATTTGTAATTAAACTACATTTTTGGAAGTTTCATTTGAATTGTAAATTCTGATGTAATGAAGATCTAACGAAAGGTAATGTTGCATTTGTGTATCTGTGTCTATCGTCAGTTAATATCATTAGAGGCTATTTTAAGGAAATGAAATTATTTGACATATTTGTAGGTCTTTGATCATTTTGTGTATGCATTCCCGAATGGCATACATTGTTTAGCACTAATTTTCGCTAGAGAATCTTAGTTGCGTCAGGAATAGTAGCTACTATGCTAGGATGAATGATGATTAAAGATTAATGAAAGACTTAACACGGACAACAAAAAGTTTGAGTTGACGTGGTTGAGTCACCTACTAAAATACTTCTATCTGAGCCAACCCTACGAGGGCTTGTATACAAAAAGGGAGCTTAATAATGAGAAATGTTCGTTCGTTTGGCTGCTCGTTCGTCTGAAGAAAAACTTTTTAACCGGACATCGTAGAGAGCTCAGGTTTGTTTTACTAGCTCCGTTACTATTGTTTATTGTCCGATCGAACAGTTAAAAGTCTTGAAACAGTGTATTTATACTATAATTAATGATTTTTTAATTCATAAACAAAACCACGTGATGAGTACGTTTAAAAAATTCAACATTGTCTATAATTTCAAATTTTTTCTAGTCGTTTTAAAATTTGAATTTCAAAAAACCGTTAAATGATAAACTTTTTCTGTATGGAAATTCATTGCAACAAATTATTAATTATACTATAATTGAACTATAATTGCCAAGCGGCAGCTTCTTAGCAGCAAATTCAAAGTGAATGCTTAGATGCTGTATAGCAACTGTTGCCTAGTATTAAGAATATCCAGTTCAAACATTTTAACATGTGTCGATCGGGTTTGCAAGATTCATATTCTGGATAAATGCGCGGAGAATCTGCATTAAGCCTTCTGTAATTCCGCAGTTATGACAATATTTGAAATGCCACTCATATAAATTCTCGACTATATCATTCAGTTCCTTGAAAAAAACATTTAATTCTGAATATTAAAATTTTTTAAGGAATCTTTGACAGCTGTGCAGCGCAATTATTGCTTCTATCTTTTGACAAAACTGCATTCTTTTTCATTTGTTCATTGCTTTAGGGATTTTTTTAATATAAAATTATTTTAGAGGAATCGCAATTTTCATATCCATATACACAGCAACATAGCACAAAGAACAGAATAATAAAACCATAACTTTTTCGCAGTTTTCAAATAAGCCAACAAAAAAAAAACTTTTAACAAGCTTGCCATGAAGCATATGATATACGATGTAATGTAGCAAATGTAATATATAGAAATGAATGTATTATAATGTTGTAATGAGGATGAATAGACGAGGATAATAAATATATCTGTATGAGCATGTTTTATTATGTATTAATTCAGAACTGGATTAGTTGTGTGTTGTGGAACTAAAGCTTGAAATTAATGAACATTGGATGATTGTAATGAACTGTGACGTGTTGGCGAAAATGGTTTTCTAAGGATGAATACATAGGAATGAAATATTAAACATGCTGGATAGTTGCTAGTATGTCTTGGAGTCTAAGTTGGTTTCTACCCTTTTTTGATAGACGGATGCCTTTAGTATCCATAAAATTTAATTTATTTCACGAATGAATGTCGATTCTATTTGAAAAAGATCCAAACATCAAAAAGTTGCAGCACTTCTGACTGTAGGGATGATATTTAAAAAGTGCTGCTGCTATAATGTAATCTGGTAATGTGGTGATACATAATGTAATGAACTACATGCCATACATAATGTTCAATGACATAAAATAAATTGCAGACACATCAGCATTAAAATTATCCTTAACAAAAGCACCACCAATCAAGTAGAGGGGATTTTGAGTCAATTCATCCCTAATAGAGTGTTGTATCCACTCTTAAAGCTCCCCTCCATCGTTAAGTACTCATCAATTTACAACCACGTCCATTCCTTGATCGCTTTTCACTTCCATGAATCATTCTTCAGTTTGATTTATTAACAACACGTTGCCTTTATGCCTTCATCTCTCTCATTCACTCGCTTGCTGTGAAAATTTTACAGCTATAGTTGAAAATGAAGGCATAAAAAATCAACTTTTTTCACATAATCATTCGAGAGAGTAATGTGTAATGTAGGTAGATATACCTATCAGGTATAGCAGCAAATAACAACAACAAATGG